ACTGTTACTCCACAACAACAACAAGAAGGAATTATCAAAAGAGAGCAAATAAAAAATTCTCTTGTGTAAATTTTTAAGTGACAATTGTATTTTTCTTATGATACATCTTTTTAAAAAATGTATTTTTTAAATATATTTATATTAAATATATGTATACAAAATAATGTTATTAAAAAATAATATAACAAAAATGTATTCCTTAATATACTTACTAGAGGAAAGCCCCCTATTATGAGATAGGCGCTTAACATGAGATAGCGGCGTTTCTGTTAAACTAATAAATGCTATCTGTTGATTCTATCATGAAATTATTGCTCTTGGATTGAAAACTATTTAAAATTCATTGTTAGATCATGCCTACAGTAATTGTAAAATAAAATTTTAGAGTTTGAATGTTTTCAAGTTTCATTGAGATAAGCCTTTAATCTTTGTTTATTATTTAATAAGTAATTATTTGGCAATAAATTCTTCATGTAGTAATAGAATAAGATCGTACTGATAGAAAAATACGAAATATATTGAATTGTTTAATCAAAGAAGTTAGATTTGATGATCGTAAAGCTGTAAGACGTGATACTCGTAATATGAGATACGCAGGATATTTCTAATATGAAATAATCTATACTTCTGTGCCTAAGTAAAAATCGATGTTAAAGATAAATATTATTGTACAATAAAAAAAAGAATAACCGGAATGAACGTTGAGGGTCTGTTTCTGCAATACTTCATTCCAATTACTACTGAAGACAAATCCTGAATACAATACATCACATGCTCAATTTACGCGCATAGACTGTACTCGTCGATATGTTAGAAACATCAAATAAAGTTTTTTTAATTCTAATACTGATGTACTTTGTGCTTTATTATCGATTTCTCGGGGTATCTCATACTAGGAGCACAATTTTTCGATTTTGCGATTTGTTCACCTTTTACATTTCTTTAATTAAAAAATAAAATAAAATTTGAATTAAATTTTACGTAACACTATCTTAAAGCTTATTAAATTCTCTTCAAAATGACCTGTTATTTTTTTTAATTCTACCAATAAACATTTAGTAATTACACAAAATGAACTCGGTATCTCATAATAGGGGCCTCTCCTCTATATATAAAAATGAGTATCATTGCTCTTTGGTAAATGTAAATCATTGGCAAAGAATATAGGAACAAAGTTAAGTCAAAAAACGATTAAATATCTAAAAACAAAACAAAAAACATTTCTTTCTTTTAAATTAAATTACAACTTTTTTTAATATCTCTGAGAATTGCCAATTTGTCTTCTTTATATTTTTTGTCAATTTCTAACTTTTGCTTTTTTAATTGCAAAAATTGTGTCATATAGTCGTCCTTATTGATGCTGCCACGTTTTGAACTTCCTAAAAAGTTTGTTATATTTGTATAAAATGTAAGTTATTCAAAATTTTTGTTAAACGAAGAAAAACATTATTAACCTGAAGACGATAATTCCTCATCTAAATGTTGCCCAAGAGGTTTGCTGGATCCAACAGTAAACAAAGGCTGCATCCATGGCGTTTTAGCGAATATTTCACATAAAATCTAAACAATAAAGATGTAATGAAATAAATGAAAATATTAATAATATAACAGTTATTATATATATATATATATCTATATTATATTTACATCATAAATGTTCAATTTTTTTTGGTGTGTTTCCAGTTTGGCAATTATGATCACAACATTTTTTATAAGCTTTTTTAAAACTATTTTTGTACTACATTGTGATGCAGTAAGAGCATAACCTTTCTCTCTCATTCCTGCTAATATTTCATTCCAAAGACGGTTGTGTGTCATATTTTCTTTGCTTAATTGACAAAATAGAAATAGTAGTAATTTCGATTGCTCTGTAGACCAATGATGCCTCGAAGCACCTAACAAAATTTTTAATTATAAAATATATTATTGTACAATTTACAATACATTATTTATAGTGTTATACGTACCCATATTTTTATTATTTTCACTACCATCATAATTATCAAACTGAATTAAATTATAATATCCGCTCAAATGAATTTTTCAAATTAAACTTAATATACCTCCCCGGTCAAGAACAAATTTGAGCTATACTAGTTGTTAGAAATATATATATAAATTTATTATAATAATAATACCGATATATACGGAAAATTTCGACTTCACAGAGTCCTCAACAGCCGCAACCGAATTCTTAAAAATTAATTTAATATTTGGCGCAATTTGGGGGAACTTTTCAACGTATATTACTTAAAAATATTGCAAAGAATATTACTACGTCGACTCGCCATCAGAGGTCTATGGATATTCGTAAAGTTTCTCGCAAGTGCTGAAATACGCGCATATCTGTATATATAGAATCTCGATTTAAGAACTAAAACAGGCGTCTAAGCTAGGCTTTCACTACGTTACCTTACTGATGAGTCCAGTAGTGGAAGCCGAGACGAAACGCCAACTTGTAATATTCTTCGCAATATATTAAATTAATTTTGAAGAATTCGGTTGTGGCTGTTGAGGACTCTGTGAAGTCGAAACTTTCCGTATATACCGGTATTATTATTATAATAAATTCAAATTAAACTTAATCTACCTCCCAGGTCAAAAACTAATTGAGCTTACTAGTTGTTAGAAATATATATAAATTTATTATTAATAACACAGTTCTACATGGTTTCTTTTTTTTATACGAGATTGGTTTCCGATGTATTTTTGTACGCTGAAAACGATTGTGGGGTCCAAAAGTGCCCATCACGTCATGATTTTGAGAAAAGTGGGGATTAAAATCGCGAAAAACGTGTTTTTGGGTGTTTTGATCCCTATTTTTCTCAAAAACCAGATGTGCTAAAGACTTCTACCTATACTCAAATTAAAGCTTGAATCTTACACTACAAGAACCATATATGCAAAATAAAAAAAAAATAAATTATTTTGTATAAAATGGGGTTAAACCTCTACGGCCCTGTTATTACGATCGAAAACTGGGCCGTAGAGGTTTAACTTAATTTAAAGTTTAACCCCATTTTATACAAAATAGTTTTTTTTTATTGGCATATATGTTTCTTGTGGTATAAGAGTCAAGCTTTAATTTGAGTAAAGGTTGAAGTCTCTAGCTCATCTGGTTTCTGAGAAAAATAGGGATCAAAACACCCAAAAACACGATTTTTAAGGTTTTGACCACCACATTTCTCAAAATCGTGACGTGATAGGCACTTTTGGACCCCAGAATCATGTTCAGAGCACAAAAATACGTCAAAAACCAGTCTCACATAAAAAAAAAAAAAAGTGAATTTTGTAGACTTACAACTCGTGTCAGACTATCGGCGCCGGGGTGGAGTTCACAAATTCTGCCGATACGCCATTTCAACGGAGGTGAAGTTTCGTCACGAATTATTGCTAATTTTCCTATCTGTAATTCGTCATTACGCACAACGGTTTTCCACTTGGTACGTTGTTGTAATTGTGTAACGTATTCCTTTGACCAACGTTTCCAAAACGACTGCTGGAGATGCATTAATAGTTGGTAACGATTGATACGGTTTTGTGGAATATCAAGTACAGATTTTTCTGGTAACGCCATAAGAGACGTTCCGATTAAGAAATGTCCGGGTGTTAGTACCTCCAGCTCATCGGGAGAATTGCTCAAAGGGCACAATGGCCTCGAATTGAGTATGGCCTCGATTTGTGTCAGTACAGTGTAGAATTCCTCGAATGACAAAGGTGTATCGTTAATTACAGTTTTGAGATGTGTTTTTACGGCCTTTACATTTGCTTCCCACAATCCCCCCATATGAGGAGAGTGCGGTGGGATGAACTTCCACGAAATTCCTAGATCAGACGCATAGTTGACGATAGTTGCTTGGTGATCGGAATGTGACAAAAATTGACCTAATTGCCGCAATATGTTACTTGCTCCGACGAAATTTCTCCCGTTGTCAGATAAAATAGAATCGCATTTTCCTCGTCGAGAAATGAATCTTTTAAGCGCGTTTAAAAACCCTTCAGTCGAAAGATCTGATACTAATTCAAGGTGTATAGCCTTGGTGGCCATACAAACAAAAAGACAAAGATAAGCCTTGCCGGACTTATTTCGAGAAATTTTAATGTTAAATGGCCCCGCGTAATCTACGCCTGCATGACAGAATGCTCGAGACGGGGTAACCCTCGACTCCGGCAGATCACCCATACGCTGTGTCATGCTACGAGGTCGCAAGCGAAAACATAGGAGGCACGTTCTAAGTACTCGTTTAATGGCGCTTTTTGCATGAATGATCCAATATGTTTCGCGAAGAGTCGTTAATAACAATTGCGGACCCATGTGAAAATGATTCAAGTGCTGATCGCGTATGATCAAGTCAGTCAATGTATCATGGGAAGACAAAAGGATCGGGTGTTTCTGAGCGTAGGAAAGTGGTGCATTCCTTAACCGGCCGCCCACGCGGAGTAGTCCATCTTGATCAATCACAGGGTTGAGTGAGATGATCTTGCTGTGTGAGTCTATTGGTTGGTTTCGTTGTAAATTGCGTAGCTCATCTGAGAACTCCCCTTGTTGATGAATTTTTATGAGAATAATCATTGCTCTCTGTAGCTCCTCAGACGTAAGTGGTCCGTTAAGTTTTGGTGATTTTGATATTGACAATGCACAGTTAGTTTTAAATCTGATGCATGTTGCAATGACTCTCTTCAGCCTTGTACATGAAGAATATCGACTAGCAAAATCGATTGATTTTACTGTGCAGAATAACGCGACGGACAGATTACGTGACTCAGGCACATCGGTCAGTAATTGAGCCGTCGAAACCGGCCATAAAGATGGAGTGATTTTTAGCCAGTGTGGACCTTCCCACCACAGTGTGGCGTTGATTAGTTGGTTTGGTAAAACTCCGCGTGAGATCAGATCAGCGGGATTGTGTTCTGAACGTACGTGTGACCAGTACTGTTTGTTGGTTAATCGTTGAATCTCGGCTATGCGATTGGCGACGAAAGTTTGCCACTGAGATAGCTCGCCTTTGATCCAAGCTAACACGATCTCTGAGTCCGTCCAGAAATGATGTTCCGTGATTGCGCATGTAAGAGATTGTGCTACCTTCTGGACTAACTCTGCCAGAAGAACGGCTCCACATAATTCTAGTCTGGGCACACTAACCGTCTTTAATGGTGCTACTCTTGACTTTGCTGTGAGTAGTTGTACCTTAATCGCTCCAGCCTCATCGACTGATCGAATGAATATACAAGCGCCATATGCAGATTGAGATGCGTCGCAAAAGCCGTGTAGTTGTATGTCTACTGGATTGTGTATAACTGCGTGTCGTGGTATTACAATTCGATTGATTAGTGGTAGTTGTTGATAATAGGACGACCAAATGAATCTGATGGTTTCAGGTATTGGAGTATCCCATTCTATTTTGAGTTGCCACAGTGATTGCAGCAAAATCTTTGCTTTGATAATAACAGGTCCGATCAATCCTAATGGATCAAATATCTGTGTGATTATGGACAATATATAGCGTTTAGTAATAACTGCGGGAACGGAATCACAAGTAGCTTCATATCGTAGTGTATCCGCAGTTGAGTGCCACAATAGCCCTAGAACCTTGGTATCCGTGAGCTCCTGATTGTCAGCGTATTCGTTGTGGCAGAGTGATGTATTTGAACGTATTTTAGCTAATTCAAATCCAGCTGTCTTCAGGATCTCGCTTATCTGAATTTTAGTTTCGAGAAGTAGCTGCACTGACTCCTCACCAGTGATCAAATCATCCACGTAGAAATCACGAGATATAATTGCAGCCGAGTGGGGATGTGTTTTCTCGAAATCCAACGACAATTGTTGTAAGCATCTTATAGCTAAGTATGGAGCTGAGGCGACTCCATACGTAACCGTGTTTAGAGTAAAGGTTTCAACAGACTTATTAGGATTGTCTCTCCATAATATACATTGGTGTAATCGATGTTCTGGCTTAACCATTACTTGTCTGTACATCTTAATAATATCACCCGTCAAAACGTACGGGTGTTGTCGAAAGCGAATAAGGAGTTCGAATAATTCGGGTTGGATCGTGGGTCCCACTAATAGGCAGTCATTGAGTGACTTTCCGGAAGTCGTAGGACTGGATGCGTCGAAAACTACTCGAAGTTTAGTCGAGATCGCAGCTTCCTTTATTACTGCGTGATGAGGAAGGTAATTAACTCGCCTTTCTTCATCGTCAGGCAATATAGACATGTGACCAAGTCTAGCGTACTCATCCATGAATTCAATATATCTAGCTTGTAATTCGGAATCTTTACGGAATTTGCGTTCCATACTGCACAAGCGTTTGAATGCCATACTCTTGGATTCACCTAAAGTGTTCGGATCCGCCCTAAATGGTAATGACACTTCAAATCGTCCTTCATCAGTTCGGCGATATTCCCTTTGAAACATCTCCTCACACTGAGATTCCTGCGTCGAAAGTAAATTTGCTTTTGGTATATCTTCTATACGCCAGAACCTTTCAATTCGTTCTTGAAGCTCCTCGTTTCGTACATGTCCACATGTAATCACATTATTATGCAGTTGTGATTTGCTTGACGTTCCCATTCGTCCGCAAAGCAGCCATCCCAGCTTGGTTGACTGTAACGTAGGTTGCTTGGATCCCAACTGGATTCTTTCGGTCTCAAGAATTTCCCAGAAGATTGTTGCTCCTAGTAGTACATCTATATTTTGTGGTATATGGAAAGTCGGATCGGCCAATTCAAGGTTTCTAGGTAAGCTTATAGAATTGAGTTTGATTTGTCTGGTAGGAATGGGTCGTGTAACTTGGTTGACAACAAATAGTTGCACGTCAGTCTCGTAAGTTGTAGTAATAGATGCTATTGTCGTTTGTGTCGTCTCCGCGACCAGTGCCTCGGCTACATTTAAACATGAAAACGAATGTTTTGTACTTTCTGTTTTGAGCCCTAATCGTTGACACATCGATTTTGTTATAAAACTCGCTTGTGAACCATTATCAAGTAGAGCGCGAACTCGATGATATTTACCTAAGCTATCACGAATGTAAATGATCGCTGTGGACAACAAAACTTCGGAATTAACCTTGTTAAAGTTGCTCGCTTGCAACGAAACAGAAGTTTCCGTTGGTGTAATATTTGTAAGAGTAATTGTATTTACCTCGTTATTGTTTACTGACGCTTTATCACCGTTGCCTGAAATCTGATTAGCGCTGTTAGATTGCTCATTTATGTGAAGCAATGTGTGATGTTTTTTCGAGCAATGTTTACAAGTGCGCGATGTGCATTTTTGCAATATGTGGTTAGAACCTAAGCAATTATAACATAAATTGAGTCTTTTCGCTTCATTACGTCGTGATTCAACTGACAGCTCTTTGAAAACTTTACATGAGTATATTTTGTGCGCCTGCTTGCATAAACCACACACATCAGCTTCACTCGTGGCTACATGAGTTAACGTTGTGGTTTGACCTTTTTTATTTGAGCTTACGTGAGTCGCCTTCTGAGTAGGAATCTTCGTGGAAGTTTTTGAGTGTGTTGGATAGCGTGCTTCGAGATATTCGCACCGAGAGGTAAGAAATTGGAATAACTGATCAATGGTTGCCGCCTTGTCTTGTATTACCTTTAAATCCCATTTTCCCTTTGTCGTGGCATCTAATTTGCTAGCAACCAAATAAATAATCAGAGTATCCCACTTGTCGATAGGTTCCTTCAATTGCTGTAACATTCGCAAGTGTTTTTTAACATTGTCTAGTAATTCACGTAATGACTCTGCCGACTCTTTTATTATCGGAGACGCGTTAAACAATTCATGAACATGGTAATTGATAGTCAAACGTGTATTCTGAAACCTTTGAATTAACAACTCTAATGCGAGAGAATAGTTTTCGTCTGTTGTTTGTATTGAATCGATCGTTTTTTGCTGCAGCATCCGACAAAGCGGACCTCAAGTAATGAAATTTTTGAACTGCGGCTAGTTTTGTGTTATTGTGGACTAAAGCCTTAAATGTATCGTAAAATTGTTGCCATTGTTCGTAATTTCCGCTAAAAGTCGGCAGAGATATCACAGGTAATCGTGCTAGCGTCTGATCTGTTTCCTCGCTTGGATCGTTCTGATTCTTATTATTAATTTGACCACCGGTGGAAACACTTGACTTGTCACTTATATATTGTGCAACCTTTGACCGAGCTACTGCTTGTACTGCGAAAAAGTTTTCTTCAAACACTTCCCTTTCATGACTGTCGGGATCGTCGAGGATCGCGTCAATTTTTGTTTGTATTGTATCGAATTCATGCCACAGCTCGTCATGTTTTTCTAACCTTGAATCTAATACTACTTTACTTTCGTCATTGACCGTATAATGTTCTAAAAACGTTTGAAATCTAGTTATACGGCCCTTAAGTGTCGTTCGTTGACGTTTCAACGCGTCGAGTGTTTCCATCGTGCTTGTACTTACAATCTAACCTCGCGTTACAAGATACGTTTATCGATGGTCGTTGTTGTGATGTGAGCCTTGTGGTGCGTCCACACAGTAGCGACAAGGCGAATATGGCTTCGTGGTGCTGATGTCGCGCTTGCGCAATGGCGAAGAAGACAATATGGCGTCGTGAGCCCGTTGTCGACGATGAAAATCAAGGCAAATGGCGATTCTCGTTGTCCAGCGTATTTCCTCCGTTCGTTGTATAGAACGTCGACGGATGCTGTCTGGGAATGTACCACTCACACGTCAATTGATTCTCGATCGTAGCAGTTAATGATGACTAAGAAGGAATGACGATGTCCGTTGCCCAGCGTGTTTCCTCGATTCTAGTATGGAACGTCGACAGATGCTGGCACGGATGTATCCCTCGAACGTAAAATCGGCTTTCGTAAAGTTCGTATGTACTTTTGGAAGTATCGGTACTTCTTGATTAGGTGTGAGATGCACTGGAAAATGCCGTCGTGGTTTTCCGAGTACTTCGTTCAGCTTCGATGTCGCGAGCTCTGTCCACTTCGATGTCGTAGTATCCGGCTCGAAGGACCATTATGTCGGGGAATTTACAAATAAATACACCCTTTTTTTTCTGTAGTGAACTGAACAGAACTCCTTTAATGAACTTAACAAAAATCACTATTTTACAATGTATGGCTGAGATAACGTCTAGTCTTATGGACGGTTCGAGCGCTTCTCTTAAAAAGTAAAAACATACAACGATCTCTTAATACACGCAACGCCCGCTAGCGTCACTTCGAGCATGAAACAAAAAACTTACAATGGTTAACCGGTTGCTATTAGAACAGACTTTCGAATATAAATTCGCACAATTTGAAATTTATTTGAGCGGATATTAATTTAATTTAATAATAAATTCATATATATATTTCGAACAACTAGTATAGCTCAAAGGCTCTAGCAGATTAAGAAGGGGTCAATCGGCCCCCAAACGGATTATGACCAGCATGTCACCAAAAAGTTCGTTGACCCGAAAAAAAAATTTGGAGAAATTTTTAATTCCGTACACCACCCCTTTTCGGAGATATTGCCTTATGAAGTATTTTCATATTTTATTTTTGTCACGAGACCTATCAGATACAATTTTATTAAAAAAATTTGGGCATACAAAACGTATCAAAAGGTATTTGAAAATATTTTTTGCGAGATGTTCCAACCTAACCATAATTTTTAAAAAATTCCTGAAAATTTATAAGTGACCCCTTTTTGTTAGTTTATGATTGGCAACCTCGCAAAAATTCAAAAACATGTATTTTTAAACTTATTTTCACCCTGAATTTTTTCAGAATTTTTTGAACCCGGCATCATGCCTAAAAAAATTAAAACTCGCCTAAAAAGGCAAAAAATCGCCATAAAACATATATCATAAGTAGCCATAAAGCCCTAAAAGGCTCATAAGATATCCTGCAGACACAGGTAAAATAACAAGATAACCCTAAGATAGTTCATTGCTCTGATTAAAACAATTATGCAATATTATGGAAGTCTTAAAACACTAAAACATCCATAATATCGCTTTAACCCTTTCAGTCACGCATATTTCTATTCACTGAATTCGCTTGAAACTCGTTACTCGGGGGTTTTCGGGGTCGCAAATTACGAATCTGATGTCAGTTTTTAAAAATTCAAAATGGCGGATCCAATATGGCCGACAACTTTCTAAAAAATGGATGAATTTGCTTGAAACGAGTCGGGGGTTTTCGGGGTCGCAAATTACAAATCTGATGTCAGTTTTCACTCATATACAGGGTGACCCATTTTAACTTAGGCAGCCAAATAACTCGAAAACTAAATCCAATAGACAAAAATGTTTCAAATAAAAATGGAACGGTGTCGAGGGGGACACGTTTTAGTCACGTTGTTTTTTTCCTAAGTGGAGGCGCTGAAAAGATATGAAGGTCACCTCCACTTTTTTAAATGGAATTATGTAATTTTTTTTAGATAACGTGATTCCTCTAATTATTTTGCATATAAAAGTATTAAGGTAGAGATACCAAAAAACCAATAGTTTTCGAGATATTTTACACTTTATTTTGGTACATAT